TCAATAGCTGACGCCTTGTAAACGACCCCACTTAAATGCATAAGCTGCTTACTGTGGTTTGGATTGATGGACTTTCTATCTGCCTAACAAACCTCCTCTCTGCTACACTTTAGAATTTACGTTAATTGCGTATTCGTTTTCGTTCGTTAAGTAACGACGTGCACGTTGCTTTTGATGTGGGCATGTTTTGCTTCAAGCCAATCGACCGCAATTCAACGGACTAAGGGCGCTCGTTTATTACTTTAACATTATCATTGATTTTATTGACAAATATGTTATGCACTCTCAAAAAACTGCCGCTGCCGCCGTGTACAAAATTGCAAATAAACCCACATAACATCATCGCGAAATTAAAAGCTTACCCGTAGTTCATTTTCTAGCTCAGATTTATATGTGGCGACACTACAGCATTTCGATAAGAGAAAAAGAGTGAGGGAGACGTGACTTTTCAATATGATTGTAAACATTATCTCCAGGGTATAAATTTACAGTTAACGAGAGAAATATGCAGTACATTCAAAAACATCGCAAGCAACGTTCTTCAAAAAAAAGATTGAAAGATAATTCATTATCACAGTCATGCGACAGAATTATTTGTCTTTGTACATAGGCATGGATCGCTTCCTTTCTGAGATTCCACTGTAATAAATTAAGCAATTGGGCTGCCATCACAAACCGCGCAACGGCGTCGGAGTTAAGACTGACTCAGGTTAACCATCTTTCGGAGTGAGAGCAAAGTTCCGCCGGTTCAGTGTGATGAGCGAACTGGTTCGGACGAAGGCTAATTTCTCTGTTAAAGATTTTGTGCACAAATCCACAAAGGCGGCATAAAACAGGTGGAGCCTGATTGACCAGAAAACATTTTTTGAGCCACTGATGCTGCCCCAACACATCGAGCAAGTGAACAAAAGCAGTAGGCCAATGTCAAATATTCGTGATGATTCTAGAGAGGACTTTGCGAATTAGTAAGTTGAATGACAACCTTTAATGTCAGCCCCATACGAATTCGATGGTCGAACTTGATAAGATAAAAAAATTGTGAGCCAATGAAAACATTGATTTGTAAACCCTATTTTTAATTTGATTAATTCTGTGGTTTAGACGGTTGGCTTAATAAGAAGCTCACTCCCAATAAAGCAACCACATCTCGTTATAACTACAAATTAGCCAAATTAACTTAACCAGGAATGACTTAAGTAAACTTTACTAAAGAGAAACCCAAAAATAAGATAAAAGTAATAAAACGTAATAATTAACTTCATATAAACTAAAAATAAGCAGAAAAATGATAAAACCAAAATTAAAAGCGGCGGGAAACTCCAGATACTCGCATTGCAAAACATAACAATAAGTAGGCGTATATGTGCGTAACATGCGTTCTGTCGACCTAACATGACTTGACTATATAAAGGCTGTTGGGATTATTCCTAACAGGCGGCCCGAGCGAAATGTCAGGTCACGTTATCGGCCCCCTGCCTGCAGATAAGAAACAAAGGACAATGGCCACACAAGTCGGCGGATAAAAGCCATGCGCGCGCTCCTGCGTGGTCACCCGATGCAGGAGAACCAACGCGCGCGTGAGATGGGCAATCAAGCCCCTAAGTGAATGAGGGCACAATCTGATTGGTCGCTTCTATAATATTCCATTTCATAAAGTCCCCGGAAAGGGACGCAATAAAGAATTTCCCTTACTTTACGACCTTTTTTCGTTGTTCTCCCTGCTGAACTGACACAAAGAGACTGGCGGCACAAAATTAGCTTTGGGAAGTCATTACAACACAGGCAACATGAAAACGCCTTTGAACTTCAAATTCTTCCTTCGATACCAGTTCTTCCTAATGCTACTGAACAGTGAACGGTGACAAGAAGGGCATGCTTACTTTAAAGTAATAACTTTATCTTTCACGAAATTGGTTGCACGCGTAAGACAAACTACGGGTGGACAACCTCGACTCGGCATTCGGAAAAAGACAAACAACAAACTGCAAAACAGGGCCTTACAAAAGTTTTGCATTGGCAGTGGATAGAACGACATACATTTTGAGAGGTGTGAAATAAATCAATGAGTTTCTTTATCTCCGTGTTAGATTAAGATAGAAAGAACTTCCTACGGCGGATTAAGCGATGGATTCTTCCTCTTTATACTTAGTGTAATATGTCGGACGTTTTCAGCCAGCACTTATTAGTTTGAACCTTAACACATCTTTACATATTCACAGCCTTAAAGAAGACAGAGAAAGTGGATCTTTTAGCGCGTTTGAACCCTTCTGGATGTTCGAATGAATTCTGATCAATCTTTTATCAAGCAACATAAGCAAGTTATATCATGAAACGTGATGACGAAAATTGTTGTCAGTAAATAAACACTGAATATTTTTTCAACCAGCCTATTTATGCAGAATGTTGTCGAAAATAATTATCTCAGTCTACACTTTGACCAGAAATCTACGGTACCTTGTAGCCGACTGTTTTCAAATGTCAAAAGTTATCCTCCACTTAGGGAACAATCTATGCGGGTTTTTCTAAAATCACTTTACTTTTCCTTCACCTAAATCAGACGAAAACAACGTACAACGCAGGTTCTGTTTAGAAACGTAGGCCAATCATCTTGTATGTGCCTCCCAACCAACGTTCTACCTACGCTGGCGACCGCATTTACGAGAAGAGTGAAAGCCCAGATGCTAAATGATGAATGAACGAAAACAACTCTTTGCCAACAGAACTTTTCAATAATCGAATGTCCTATTTGTTGCCTGTCTTTTTTCCGCTTTCTCTCATCGCCCTCCCCCACTTGCCCTGAAATCAGCTGCCTATTTTCGACTCTGTTTCCCAAATGTTTCTGACTAATAAGTAAGTATTGACGGACATAGTTGACCACCTATTTACATTTGACTCTGAAAATCCATGTTATGGCCAGCTTATAATTTATGCTTAGCTTTTGTATGCCCGTCAAGTGCTCTTTCGTATTTTCTGATGAGAACGTTGGCATATTAGTCATAATTATTAGTTTTCTGCTGTTATGTTGCGCATTTCCAGTCGTAGAACGGAATCGAAGCACATATATCAAAAAATCCTGCAATATAGAAAGAAAAGTCCGTTCACTCATTTGAAGCAGAAGAGTTATCGCTAATCGCCAGGGGACACAAAAGCCTGCAAAACATGTTGTATAAAGTTTATAAGGCACGGCAAGTACGTAGACATTCACCAGTAAAATAGTTGGAGGACGTCAAATTAAGGTCCCCAAAAATTTCTCACAGAGATAACGTATGGCAACACACAACCACGCCAACACTTAAATGGCGCATAGTTTGTTACATTTGGCTTCCTTAATTTTAGTTGCCTGTTAACATTTAGTTATATGTTGAGTTTATTATTAAAGCATAGTAGTTTACATTTATTTGCTAGATTCAGTTACATTTTTATTCGCATACTTACCTTACTTTGCCTTTCTATTTCTAAGGTTTATGAGGCTTAGTTTAAAGTTGTAGTTTCTTTTTAACATAATTTAGCAGCATGCGGCTCCTTTTCGGGGAAAAATCTGTACTGCTTGGGTTTGGTAAAATAAGTGATGTTTTAGTGCATTGTTTAGTTTATTATTACGTTTTATTAATTGTTCTTTAAATAATTTATTTTAATTTAAGATAGTTCAGCTTATTTTGGTTGCATCACCTTAGGTTTAGATTTGTAAGTAATTTGCGTTTTTCTGCAAATTTGAGAAGCTTCCATGTGTTTACGTACTTGCACAATGTATTTATAATGCGCTTATCTAATGCCCAAATTTGCGTTATTTAAATGCTTATTCCTAGATTTTCCTACTTTTATACGTGCTCTGCCCATTTACCTTTATTACCGCATGTCGCGTATTAACGAACGCGGGTGTTTTTGTGTGCTGTACTGGAACTTTAATTAAACTGCTTTCAGAATAACAAAGCGAATAGAAAAAAAACGGAATATTTCATTCAGCATTATACTGACAAAAGCGTGATCACATATAGCACCGTAAAACCGTAGGACAGGCCATTTACTGGTGGCTTAATTCAGGAAATCTAGGCAGTTGTAAATTTATCTGCCGCATCATACGACTGCGCAGGAATTCAGAATAAGAATCTCAACGATCAACATCTTGCCCAATTCTCTATTTTGTTTGTTGCTTTACATTTTTCCACTTGTATTCACTGTATATTTTTGTTATCTTTTTCTTTCTACTTTGTTGTCCGTAGTATATAATATTTTTTTTCGCTGGTCACAGCTGTGCTGTTTAGTAACATAAATTGCACCTCCATCACATATTTAATTAAAGCGCTTTTAAAAAGTAAATGATCTTAAGCATATTAAATGTCAACTTGCTCTCTAAAACTTTTCTAAGCAATCCGGTGTCGGGTAAGGTGACTCCGGAACGATCAAGTCGTCCAAGCACTCATCCATTGTGGAAATCATTGAATACGATTAAAATCGCGAAGTTTTATCCATTACTTCAAGTTAATCCATTAGACCTACTCACCATTTATGCCTATAAGGCTTTATACGCAGTAACTATTTCTTCAATACAAAATCTCGTTAGTATACGTACATTCACAAAATACTCCTTTGAAATCCCTGGTGGGCCAATTTGCAAATTTAAAAAAAGGCGGTGGTTGATCTGATACTTTTGCTGAAATGTTTAACAATGTCTTAGTTATAGTATGACTTGTAGACTTTATTATCACCTATTTGCTAGTTACATACAAGTCACTCAACGTATGATGTTTTCGGAATTTCCTATTTTTTAAAGGAACGTAAGACATTCATTAACACGGTTATACAAACTCTGATGATTATTTAAATAGTAAATTAACTGAAAGCTGTCGAATATAAATTCAAATCATATGAAAATTCCTTGGAGTTGTTTTGCAAATAATAAATATGTGGTAGGCCACACCACGGAAGAGCAAGAAAGAAACGCACCAGCACTGTTTGAAATAAGCGTCAACAATTTAGTTCCAAAAGGGCTATGAGGTCAGTTATGAGTTTACCTTAAGTGTTCCAAGGGCCTTCCAGGCAAAGTAGGCTGAATACGCGGTATCATTTTGGTCAAGGTAACGTATGTACTCCGCCAGCTTCCCAATAGTTGAAAATTGGCTAACGTGAATGTAGGAATTGGGCGGTGCAATGCTGTAGTAGTCTTCGGGACTACCACCCATGACAATGGGCACCATTCCAGCTCTTTTAAAATCCAAAAAAACTTTC